TATGCACCAGTGTTATCCAACAAAATGTTGTGAAATCCAAAAAACTTCATATCACAGAAGTCACCTGCTCTGGCAAAACACTATATATACCTGTTAGACACAATCTGACTTTTTAACATACAGATAATGTATAAATAAGACCAAACAACCTTTTTTTTTTTTTTGAGAGAGAGAGTTTGGTACTGTCGCCCAGGCTGCAGTGAAGTGGTGCTATCTCTACTCACTGCAACCTCCACCTCCTGGGTTCAAGAAATTCTTCTGCCTCAGCCTCCGGAGTAGCTAGGACTACAGGTGTGTAACACCAAGTCCAGTTAATTTTTGTATTTTTAGTAGAGATAGGGTTTCACTATGTTGGCCAGGCTGGCCTTGAATTCCTGACCACAAGTGATCTGCCTGCCTTGGCCTCCCAAAGTGCGAGGATTACACGCATGAGCCACTGTGCTCAGCTGAGACTAGACAATTCTTATTTGTTTTTGTTGAGACGAGAGTTTCACTCTTGTTGTCTAGGCTGGAATGCAGTGAGATCTCAGCTCACTGCAACCTCCGCCTCTTGGGTTCAAAAGAGTCTCCTGCCTTAGCTTCCCAAGTAGCTGGGATTATTGGCATGCGCCACCATGCCTGGCTAATTTCTTTTATTTTTAGTGGAGACAGGATTTTATCATGTTGGCCAGGCTGGTCTCAAACTCCTGACCTCAGGTGATCCACCCACCTTAGCCTTTAAAAGTGTGGGGATTACAGGTGTCAGCCACCACGTCTGGCCCAGAAAATTCTTCACACAAATTTGCCAATAAATATATTCAGCCCATGATTAAAACTCAGAACACCATCTATGAAGTAAAACTTAAATATCAAAATGTTTTTATTACCCTATACCGAGAGAAAATAGTAAATTCCACCAACAGATACAAAATACAAAAAAAGAAAAAATCTTACAAGTTCTGAAGGCACTGGGACCACGGAACAAGCTTTACTGTACGATGTCCTTGTGACCAAGCAAAGTATGAACCATCTGGAGCGAAAGCAACAGTCCAATTTTCACGACCACATTTCTTGTCAAAAGGAGCTGCAGGAGCTAAAAGTTCACCTATAGTACGTGATCTCACTAAAAGGAAAAACAAAAATACTGGATATCACATATAACCAACACATAATCCATGTGAGACTGCTTCCATATTACTTTGGGACTAAGTTTCTTCCCTATTCTATGCAGACAGGGTATAGTGAGTTCTGCTTCCCATCCTCTAACAGGGGGTATGCAGTATATGAAGACCCCTTAATGATAGTGACTGGCTCCAAGTTTTGATAAAGTGATCTTACTAAAATTTCCCAATGCAAGAATTTTTAAGAAAGTTTCAATAATAAAACTGTTCAAGTAATAATAATGTAATGACCAATTAGACCTAACAATTACAAAGGTCCTAACTTTTACATTGTATTATATTCTCATCAAATTATTAACATTTTAACTGCAAGAGATTAAACTTAGTTTGCAAGAAAAGTATCTTCCAAATTAAGTTTCTTAGCTTTCAAAAATCATATATCACTATAAAACACAGTATTACACCACTACTCAAACAAAAGCACTATAAAATACACTATTCAAACAAATACTTTTATCCTTTGCAGGCCCAGGTCACAAAAATCACAAAATCCTCAGAACTAGAAAATTTAAAGGCTGTCTAATCCAACCTCCCAACCAGTGCCTTAAAATGCATTAGAGGCTGAGTGTGGTTGCTCACACTTGTAATCCCAACATTTTAGGGGACTGAGATGGGCAGATCACTTGAGGTCTGGAGTTTGAGACCAGCCTGGTCAACATGATGAAACCCTGTCCCTACTAAAAATACAAAAATTAGCCAGGTGTGGTGATGGATGTCTGTAATCCCAGCTACTTGGGAGGCTGAGAAAAGAGAATCCCTTGAACCCAGGAGCAGAGGTTGCAGTGAGAAAGTGCCACTGCACTCCAGCACTCCAGCCTAGGCAACAACAGAACAAGACTCTGTCTCAAAAAAAAAAAATTAATTAAAATAAAGTAAAATGCATTATAGCCAGGCATGGTGGTTATAATGTTGGGGCATGCCTGTAATCCCAGTTTCTTGGAAGAATCACTTGAACCCAGGAGGCGGAGGTTGTAGTGAGCTGATATCGCACGTTGCATTTCAGCCTGGGCAACAAGAGTGAAACTCTTGTCTCAAAAAACTCCGTAAGAACTGCTTGAACCCTGGAGGTGGAGACTGCAGTGAGCCAAGATTGCACCACTGCACTCCAGCCTGGGTGACAGAGCAAGACTCTATCTCTTTTTTTTAAAAAAAAAAAAAAGCATTATATTTACAATTCTCAAATAGTGGTCCTTGAGTCTTCCTAATGGACCCCAAACTGACTCAAAAATGGAATTATTTTGGTTTCTAAGAACAAAAAAAAAAGACAATGTCTTACATTTTAAATTAAGATTACTCAAATTCTGTATTCCTAAGAAAAACTGGCATATTACCAGAGTATATAAAGAATGTTACTTCCATATTTAACAAAAAGCATGATCAACAAGTTCATACTGCAATGTATGCATGCAAACTCAGCTAGAATTTCCTCAATTTTGGGAAAGGCCCCTCTTTATCAGTGTTATCACCTATTCTGGGTTGGTCTTGATTTCAAATGTTACTATTTCTCCTTTTTTGCTATTAGTTATCGTCAGTTTAGCTTTTGTATTATCTATTTTGTGGTCAGTTGTCTGGTCAATTCTACAGTGTATAATAATATATTTTTATGTATTTCTGGCTTAAACTTTTCAACACCTAAGCTTTGATATATTCTACGTATTGCTGTTAATGTAAGAACCACTTACACTGCTGTAGCTAGAAGATACACACACACGTGAGCACGCACACACACACCCACACACCCAAAATGTACTTGTTCAGTCTGAATGTGTGCTCCATCAATAGCTAGTACAGCACCTGGCATATGACAGGTGCACAGTAAATATTTATTGAATAAATACAAAAGCACACATATATGCTCCCATTCTAAAGTGATTTAAATATGTTCTCTGTCCCAATTCCCTTAACAAATTGGTGGGGTTTAAAAAACCAAAACAGAGCCGGGCGAGGTGGCTCAAGCCTGTAATCCCAGTACTTTGGGAGGCCGAGGCGGGTGGATCACGAGGTCAAGAGATCGAGACCAGCCTGGTCAACATGGTGAAACCCCGTCTCTATTAAAAATACAAAAAATTAGCTGGGCATGGTGGTGCGTGCCTGTAATCCCAGCTACTCCGGAAGCTGAGGCAGGAGAATTGCCTGAACCCAGGA